GAAATTGGTATTGAAAGATCAACATTTAAGTTAGAGAAGGAGGGTGGCCAATGACGGAGAGGTTTTGGAAGATTTTCTTGCAATTGATAAGTTTAATTCTTTTCAATTTTTGTATGTTTGTTAATTGCTTGTTGATTGACATTTGAATGAAATTTTAGTCAAAATCTATGGCTTAATCAGTATTTATTAAGATTTCAAATAGCTATAGTAATTGATTAAAATTTACTTAAAATTTTCTTAGGATTATTTAAGATTTGGTCTAATATTAGGATTTAGAGTTTGATTAGAATTTGATTAGAATTTGTCTAGGATTTGAATAGGATTTGGTCTAAGGTTAGGATTTAGAATTTTATTAGAATTTCATTAGGATTTAGGATTTTATTAGGATTTAGTGTAGAATTAGGATTTAAAATTTGATTAGGATTTATTTAGGATATGAATAGAATTTGGTCTAAAATTAGGATTTAAAATTTGATTAAGATTTAATCAGGATTTAGGATTTTATTAGAATTTGGTCAAAGATTAGGATTTAAATTTTGCTTAAGATTTTATTAAAATTAAGGATTTCATTAAAATTTGGTTGGGATTGGTTTAAGATTTTATTAAGATTTATTGAGAATTATAATAGGAATTGATTAAGATTTTTAATTTTGATATTTTTTAAAGATTTTTTTTATTATATATATTTTATTAACATTAATTATGGTTTCTTTATGTTTTTTTTTGTAAGTTGTTGAGACTTCTTGGATTTAATTAAAGATTGATTAGGATTGTTATAATTTAATTGAAAGTTTTTTAGGATTCTATTAAAGTTGTTAGGATGATTTTGTTGCAAGTTCCTGTTTTCCTTCTTCAATCAAGTATCTAGTACATTCTCAAGAGAACTTCACATAATACGGAAACATCAAAAATGATGTAGTAAAAATTTGGATCATCCCATCATTGTACTCTTTCAACCTTGTTCCAATTACTAGCCATTCCCTTGTTCCCAATTGTCATCCCCACTCCCAACATTTTCAATCTCCCACTTTCATCCTTAACAACAGTTGGAAATGAAGAATGGCTGAGAATAAGAATGGAAGTTGCAAGATTGCAATGATGGTTAAGATAAAATAGGTCACTTTAATAAATAAAAAAATTAGATTTATTTAATATTCTTCTAAATTTATATTCTAAATTTTTCCTGAAGTTATTCCATTTGTTGAAAATATTAACATAAACTTTCATAATTTTTATGTAATAAAGTTGAATCTTTGACTTGAATTAAAGTTCATAAATTGGATTTAAAAAAATAATTCAATATTAACAAAAAAGTTCATACAAAAATGATAAATATATAAACTATTATATGTTGCAATCAACAAACAATATCTTAGATATGATAAATAATTTTTTTGTAATAGATATATGATATTCATGCATTTACCTTCAAAATTTTGATAATCACCTTTTAAATGATCTTATTTGCTATTAGTTCTACAACAATTTTTCTTACAATATTCTTGACATTATTGGTAGTGCCAACATTAATAAGTTCTTCTACTTTAGGTTTATCACTCTCAAATAAGGCTATGACTAGAAGAATATTAATAATAAATATACCATAGTTAAGTAACTTGTTGATCTTATTGTATGTACCTTTGGTTGCTAATATTTTCATGTAAATGAAGTATTATATTAGTGCAAGAAAAAAAAATGCTAAGAATTTTTGTGATCTTTGTTATCTAAGTAGATTAAAAGCCAAATCTCCTTCTTTTGATATAAGATAAGAATGTCTAGAAAGGGTGTCTAACAAACCTTGTTGTTTTTCTTAGTGATAAGTGATCTTGAATTCAAATCTTGAAAAAGACATGCCTCAATAAGCTTGGTAATGATTAAAAATGCATATTTATATAAAATACTCAAGATTTTTGTGATTTTTTATAAACAATGATTGAACTTGAAGCGCCTACTAAATAATGGTGCTATTCTTAAAATGAATCCATAATTCAAAAACTTCTTTACTGTAGATCTTCTTATTGATCTTAGTTGCTAAAAAAAAAAATTAAAAAAACTATTGGATAAATTTTATCATATGCCCTTATTTATAACAATACCACATTTAAGTTGTAGAAGTAGAAGCATTGTAGAAGTAGAAGTAGAAGCATTGTAGAAGTAGAAGTAGAAGTAGAAGCATTGTAGAAGTAGAAGTAGAAGTAGAAGCATTGTAGAAGTAGAAGTAGAAGCATTGTAGAAGTAGAAGTAGAAGCATTGTAGAAGTAGAAGTAGAAACATTGTAGCTTTCTATCTTTTTATAAACTATAATTCTATCTTAAATCTCCAACTATATTTCATTTATATGATTTTTATTTTTAAAGTCTCTCATTGCTACCCTTTATGGATGAAACAAAATAGATCTCAAATTTAGATTCAAAAAAAACTTCTTGTGCATATACATTTATCCAAATTATGTGTTTGTACAAATTAATTTTTTTTGGCTTGCTTACTAATATAGTAGCAATTGTAGGCATTAATGGAAGTTAAATAGACAAAGAATAATCTTTTGTAAAAATTAAACCAATAAATCATCATTTGGTGGATTACAACCAATTTAATATCTTTAAAACTATTAATTAGATTTTTTATTAAGAAAAATTCTAACATAGAATATGGCAAATATCCACTCTATATTAACTCTAATTAGCTAAAATTTAAAATTAGAATTATAATTTTAGAATGTAATTATAAAAGTATTAATAAATTCTATGATAAGATAGCAAATTTTTGTATTCGTGATAGGCTTTGAAATGAGTAAAAGAAGTTGTATAAGAAGATATTTTATTAGTTTACAATATCTTCTGTTACAAATAATATCAAAACTTGCTTTTTTAAGTTATTCATTCTTAAAAAATGGCACAATCTTTACAAACAAGTACATCAGTATAACCACCATATAACATATAGAGTCATTTTTATGTTTTATTTTTTAAAAATTAATTAGATCCAAAATTTTGACTCTTAAATCTATAATGTTGTTTAAATATACTTTATTTTTTATATAAAAATAAAAATGCATTGATTTTTATCAACATAATTTTCATATCTTATCATAACAAAAATGGCACTCTTTAAGGGTTTTAGCCATTTAATTGCATAAAAGGATACTATTCTTACTGAACCAAATGATGTGTTTTTCTTTGCTTCTATAGTAGGGCTCTAAAATGGACTTGTTCTTTGTGACAAAGAATAGTCTTACTATGGGCTGACATGGAAGTATTTAGGCATTGCTTTTGACGAAGAGTGACATTTGTCCTATCTGTAGGTCTTCAAGTACGAGGGCATGGTTTGATGTATTCATTTCCTGCCATTTATTTCTATGCACTCAATTGCTTCAATCAAACGTCTCCAAATTATTCATAAAGATTATGCTCTGTTCATTCTTGATGCTTAATTATAATCTTCCGTTTTCTTTTGCAGATGTATATGATGCCTGGAGGCAGCAGAAATGGGAATCTTCGTCTCCACAAAGCTACAAAATTTCACCTGCGGTGGAAGTTTCACAATAGCTGCAAGAATGGCCATCTGAAGATGTGGATAGCACCGTCTCCTCTCGGGACTTGACAATTTTAACTAAAATGTTACATGCATGCCTATATGCACACCCTTCCACAAAAAATTGGAACTTAGGGTAAGGAGAGCAAAGATCAAAGAAGCTTTAACCAAATCAGAGGGAGAAGTAAAGAGCTGGGGAGAAACAATAAGACAATATTGAGAAGGGTCAAAACATACTATTAGCATGATGAGTCTCATTCGTAGGTGACCGGAAAGACTACCGTAATCCACGACCATTGGTATCAATTTTGATGTCTAACTTCATATAATTTATATTAGTCTTAGTTCTGCCCAGCCGGCTACAGAACATAGACTGGCACTGCGGATAGGTGAAATCCTGCTGTAAAAGTCTCGTTGTGGGGATGTTCTGCGGAACTCGTTATTGGGCTTTTGTTTATGTTCCGAATTGATGGGGTGGCCACAATTGCTCTACTGTATCGTGGTGCTCGATTTCAAAGAAGTTTTTGCACATGCTCATTAATATTCAAGCAGCAATCCTCAGTATATGTTCTTTATTCAACGTAGAGAGACACTGAGCTATTCTGAAGATACTCCTTGCACGTTGTTCGGTCAACCCTTCTTAACAAACCTTCACTAAAACCATCTGAAGGACCTGGGTTACATGTACAGATCCTTCGTGACATTTTTGAGGTTCGATTTTGTGGAACACAGTTGATAGGGTAGTGATTATTCTAAGTATAAGAACCTGTGAGGGATACGATATTACCGTTTTAATAGATGGAATTTTCGTATTTCGAGGCTTGACATATTTGAGGAGCTGACACACGTATTTCACATTAATTTAGTACAACCTTGGGAACTCTGATGAATCCATGTGCCAAACAGTGCCACAACTTCAACACGGATATCTACCGTTGAAAATCCTTACATCTAGAACAAATTTTCGAAAGTAATAAACTATTGTTAAAAAGAAATCATTTACAATTGCCGTTTGATCCATCAGTATCGAAAATTTGTGAGCATACACATGACAATTGTCCCAGCACGGTGCAGGCATGAAACTGCATAAGGCTTTTGCGACTTGGCCGGCAAGTTGAAACTATTGACAGCCAATTGCAATATAACAGAGACACTGAACTAGAATTCACGTGTGAAATCGTAACTGTCTCTCCTGTCTCTGAGTTGTTAGATTAGGAAGATAGAATTGCTAACTTGTGCTGCGATTTAATAACATGTCACAAGTTCACTACTAGAAGAATAATATGCCACTTCTGATGGCACACATTCACCAGGAGCACTACGAATATAAACTCATAGAGAAGCCACAAGACAAGACCTTGCAAGAGTAATATGCCATGTAATTCAAATCGAGTTGCCCCATCGGGATCACGAAGTCATTTAACACATCAAGCAAGTATAGAGAACATAGTTTACGACAGGACACAAACTTTTTCTAAAAGTAAAGAGGTCTATAGACCTCAAATGGGCTTACTTGTCAAATTTTAGAAAGAAGAACATGGACAGGTCTGTCACAGACTGTGCTAACAAACTTACGACGGGTTTGTAGAAGGTGAACTTTGCACCTTACACACATAAACCCAACTAGTCATCCTTTCTCTAAATTGTGTATCATGGTAACAATATACATTGAGGAATGACAAAAGAATGTCGTACCACTATGTTTTCAAAATACAGCGTGCAACTGTTAGGAAAAGCCAAAGTTCTGTTAAACGCGTGATGACTGGCCAAGCTTTTTCTCGAAGAGCCGCCGCAGCAAAACAACCTGAACTACACTGCATCCTACTAGCGCCAGCGCCTCCAGTATCGCTTTGTAAATAAGCCTCTTGCTCATGGCATCATTGACTGGACCACAATGTTCCAAAGCCCAGGAAAACACCAAACGTGTGGTTGTTAGTTGGATCTGGGGCTTATATCATGGTGCGTCAAGAGCGTTAGAATCAAGTTCACAGACAATAGTTTTAACTACTTGATGCAAGCCACTTGAAATTACCCACAACATGCAAAAAGTTCAACAAGTATAGAGGACGGAGAAAAAGATGAAGAGGAAGAAGAAGTAAAAAGAAAGAAAGGAAAAAAAAGGAACAAATAAGAAAAGAAAATAAAGAGTTCCAATACGTGCATTGTCAATGCAGATTTACTCATGTTCTGAGAAAGGTAAACATGGTGCATACCAATTTCTTGACGGTCAGTCTGAGCTAGAAGCCAGTGTTGTTCGAACTGAATAGAGTACAAAGATTCCTCCAGCCTCTCAATTTGCCAAATCAATGGATCAATATGCTCTGCAAAGCAACCACCCAGTACCGATGACCGACGTGTTTTGAAGTGATACTAAATGTAACAGGGAAAAATCTAGCCATCCTTGCATGCTTTTCAAAACAAGTGGTGGACAAGCAAGACAGTAGAAAACCCACAGATAAGACATACAACTTGATATTGAACGTGTTGTTGGGCCTCAAGGTAGAAAAGGATCGCATTAAAATGATACTCACCATCTTTGACAAGCTGCACATCAATATCAGTAATGTGGTGACCGACATGGACATCAAAATCCACGTTCTCATGCACATAGTTCCGGTTGTAGAAACAGAATTTGTAAAGCCCTCTCCGCACTGCTATGAAGTTGAATTTGTCTTCCACTTTGGATTTCGAGCTGTGCACCTGATAACCTGCAGGTGCTTCAACCTGCGCATCAATCGCCATTGATTTCATTCCAGTTCTATCCTCGCCGGCTCAATCTCCTCATCCACCAAGCACACGCAAAAAGTGCCTAACATATTTATCCACTGCTTTTACCCCTTCTTGAAAGCAGCACCCTGTCACCTGACCTCGATCATTATACCAAAGAAATAAAATATGCATGAAATAAAAAATACACAAATCCTGGCAAAAGTGTGGGCAAGAGACACGTCAACGCACAATGAGGTCTACTCCAACCGACGCGTGGTCGAAGGTCCACGCACTCTCAGACTTGATTACGACATACGAAACGAGCACTTGGTCGCCGTCATTAGGCACCTCATGCTGGAAACATTCCTTCTTGTCGATCACGAACCGGATCCCGAGCGCTTGCTGAGTCAGTAGCAGCCACACCCCAACTACGAGCGCTAGCTGACACCAGCATCCCCACCTCGTCCGCATCCCTTCCATCCCCGGCAACTCTCCAAAAACCTCCTCCAGTCCTCAAAAGCCCTCACAAATAATAATAATAATAATAATAATAAAGAGATATAAAACCCCAACTTCCTCCCGTACCCTAAAATTCGCGACCCAACTTCAAAACCCAAATATCAAACAGAGGAGCTCACTTTCCACGACCTGCCCGCATTGCGCAGCTCTTCACATGGTGCTGGATCTACGACGAATCAATCCAGCGAGAGAGAGATCAACTGGGTGCGCCTGCGAGGATTTCCAACAGGCCGCGCAGCACTGACGCGATCTGTCTCTGGAAGAGGGTCACGACATCGCTTGCTTTCGTTGCTGTGACCCCCGCCTCGCAATTAACCGTACCCCCACGCTATTTTCTCGCATTCGCGACTGACTTCGGGCTCTCGCGACGGACCGCCGAGACCGTGCCTCGACAAATCCGCCAAGGCACAGGATTCGAATTTCCCGGCATTCGTGTAAGTGCGTGTGCGCGGGGTGGGAATTTCAGGTTCGTTGCGATTGCTTTGACTCGTGTTACCCTGTTCACACCTTCCAGCGGAGGTTCGTATTATTTTCGATACCGTTTCTTCTTCACATTGGGAAAACTGGTTCGGGATATTTTAGAACTGGATTCGTGATGCTCCGTTCACATTGGGGGCGGAAGTTGTGCTCAGATTTTGTCGGTATTTGCTTGATTTTAATGAGCCGTGAAATTCCAAATGGCCGTGTTTGAAGATCCGAATCAATGTCTGGTTATGGATGTCTGCGGAATCAGTTATCATTGTTCTAATGGATTAACATTTTGTAATGAAATTAAAACATATTCTGCAAAATTTTATGGGGATACAAGTCTATTTGGCTTATTTTGTGATTGTTGGTTTAACAGTACATGTTACAACATTGGTTCAAGGATATAAGAAGTATCAAACCAAAATAATTTGTCTATTACAAGATAGATAGTGTTAAAGCTAGAAACAAAAGAGCACATACTTAGTATATTAAAAACTTGTGATAAATGTACAGAAATTATATATATATATATACATATATATATTCATTCAAAAAACATGTACCACAACAATTCTATACTTGCATCTTGAATGTGAGTAGAAATTTTATGTTGTTTCTTTAATGTGTAATTCAAATTTAGCACAATGTTAAAACACAGTCATTGGAATTGAAGTAGTCAATGATTTTTAATTATGTAAATGTGCACAACAAGTTGATTTTTTTTTTATATAATAAATGATAATTTTTATAATTTGGTGGTTTCATTAACCATATTTTCAAGAATCATAAACATGCATATTATATTTGTTATTATGGACTTGTTTCTAAGATGCTTTGATTTTCCATAAGATCTTGAGCAGTTTATAAAAATAATCATAAATTTTCAAGAATTTTACATACATACATACATACATGCCTCACTTTTTGATGTATTGGTTCCTTAATTTGGTATACTGCCACTTCAAAGAAAAATTGTATAGCATTCAATAAGAAAATAAAATCGACAAATCAAATTTGTAAAAAAATACAATCAAGTAGTTACGATAAACACATGATGAAAGGAATTCCAAATTTAAAATAAACCATTTAAAACTCAGTTTTATTTTAACATTTTTAAAGAAAATATATTCCTTTAAAACAAATGATTTAGAAATGTTGAATAGAAGAAATAATGAATTATCCATCAAATGACACTCAAATCTCAAAGCTAACATAAACACATACATTATGATATTAAATAAATCATTAAAAAAATTACACAAAATAATAATTATGTAAACGAAACAAATAATCAACAACACGACTCAACATTCAAATAGACGTCCAGATAGTAAATCCAAAGATCAGAAGCCTACATTATCAACCCTCAAACCCAAACAAGTCACAAAAAGCCTGAAAATATAACATTCACACACATGAAGACAAATAAAATAAAATAAAAACAAAAAAAATAGAACGAAAGAAAGAAGCTCACAACACAATGCACATGATAGAAATGGACATATACTGATGAGATAAACAACCACCACCACCACTAGAAAATAACAGAAGTATAAGAGGAGGAAAAGGTCATCTAGGAACTTCTGATAAGATTCATTTGCTGATAAAATCCTGGTAGAAACTCCTGATAAAGCTGCTGCATGCTTCAAATTCCATGGTCTCTCTCTCTCTGTGAGTGTATGAGAAGCACAAATTGCATCCTTTGCAAGGGATTCCAATGCCAACATGGCCCTCATCAACGCCACCTTTAACAGCCTTGGACCCAGCTCCCACTTTAGTAGCCTGCAGGAATCAGCCCAGCACAATGTTGAGGCAGAAGATGCACACAAACACACTCCCTGCTGCGACCACCATAGAGCTCTGAAGCTTTGTGTCGCATCCTCACATTTATTAATGCCCATTATCCATGGTCTGTGAGCATCATCCCTTTTCCTGGTTCTTCTGGTTCGTGCAGTGGGTTTGGAAGGCTGGTGTGGTCCGCTCCCCTTTGAGGTTGAAGCTTCGGAGCGGAGCTCGACGGAGGATCACCACGAGGGAGGGAGGCAGATTTTGAGAGGGACCCAATTGCTGTGTGGGTGCATGTGACCTGGAATGTGGAGTTTCATAAGATGGAACAGGCGGATGAAATGCAGGGATGGAAGAGTTTCTATTCGCTGGTTTGGGTTGGAGTTGTTGAAGGAAGCTTGAGAGTCATTCTGAACTGTTAGTTACGTGATGGTTGTTTTCGTTCCTGCAAGTTCAGTTCAAACTTCCTTAGGGTTGTTGTGGGGATGTGCATGTAGCCGACTGCACTAGCTGTTTTTGGGTTTTTGGTAATTTGATTTGATTTGTTTTGTTGTTTCATTTATTTTGGTCCATTCTCATGGCCTTCAAAGTTTCTGCGCTCTGGAACCACCCTACCGGCCCTAAAACCAGTGAGTAGAAGATTGATCGCTTCAACCTTGTTGTGTCTCTCTTGTTTGTGCCAATTTTCCTACACGCGCGGTTCTACTTGCCCGTTCGTTGGGGATGAGTGAAAATACCAGGAGTTGGTTGTAACTCCGCTATTATGGTCGTAGACATTTGTATGCGATTTTCAAGTAAACGGGTGTTTGGGTACGATGTCATATGCTGATGATAAGCTGGAGTTGTTGCAAACATTAGCAGTGGTATTGGATTATGAATATAGGATGCCTCAATTAAATTTTAGCTAGATTTGGTGAAGCATGATAAGTAGCTGTTTTATTAGTGAATTGGATACTGATTCTCTTCAGTCACTGTGAGGGCATGTATGGTGGGTTTAGGTCTCTATGAGCTTTATTTGAGTCGTGAAGCTTAGTGAGACAGGGGGTGATTGTGTGCCTCGATTCTTCTTCTATTGCCTTTCTGTATTTTTAGCATCGGATTCTCGGCTTGATCCTGCTACCGACATTCTTTTGAATAACATGCGTTCTAAACTAAGCAAGAGATTGCGATGTCCTGTCTTTGCTTCTGCTCGTGGTTTGCAGTTCATTTCTGGGCACCAACATTTAAATGGGGCATCTCTATAGCGAACGTTTCTGATTTTTCAATGCCACCTGAAGCGATTTCATATCCGCAACAGATCGGTAAACTTGAACTTCTTTGCAGCTTTGTGCTCCCCACTTTCGTCCTGCATTTGTGATACCCTGTCTGGAACACGCTCGTTGGAACGTTCTTGAAATGTTGTACTAATATTAACAATGATAATACACCCTTCAAATTTATAAACCGAAGATTGTCAGGAATATAAGGATTTACTGCGGTCTTACATACTAAATGATATGTGTACCTTCACGTGTTCTGCAGCTGTAGCAGCCTCTGGCTTGATTTGGTCCCGATACAGCATGGTTATTGTTCCGGTTTGTTTGTTTCTCCTTATGTCCTTCTGTTTGTGGCATTTTCTTAGCATGCTGATTTTTAATTTCCTGACGAGCGCATGAACTTTCTCAGATACCACAAGTTTTACTTCATGTGATGGTTGTGCTGTCTTGCACAAGAAGTACGTAGAGATTAGGTCGTCTAGATGCTTAAAAATAAATCAAAAGAAGTCAGTGTGATAATGGTCGAAAATTCAGTGTTCATTTGTTTCTATGTGGTTCGGGACCTTCAGAAAAACTGGAACTTGTTCTGTGTCAATGTTGCAATGTGTACAACAGGAGTTTATCAGCTCTCTCGCAAGATTCAGTAAGCTTTCAATTTCTGTTGATTCTTTTCACTGTAGTTGATGTGTTTATGCTCCTGCATGGATGCTTTGATGATGTATGTACTTGGATGAACTTTGTCAGTGATGTTTTATTAAAATTTTGGGTGTGTGTCGTATCTCAAAACGTTGTCTTATTCAGTAGTCTCTGGTTTCCAGACAAGATTACATGGATGTCCCAGGTTCGCCAGGAAAGAAGGTCGCTCAGGTTTATCTACCTTAAGGTTACCTGTCTGATTTGCATCATTCACCCTAAATAAGATTCGTTCTATAAAGCTGAAAACTGAAGTGGATTTGTGTCAAAGTAGATAAATAAATAAATAAACAAACACTCGAGTGGATGTGGGTTATTCACCTTTGCTGATGCTCATGATGCATATCATAGGAGTTTTTTTAATTTTTGTATTAAAGGATTGTCGTATTGTGAGTCTGGAACGGGTTGGGTGTGGAAGTTTTACTTTACTTACATGCTAGATGAGCTTTGCTTGCATGTTGGGTTGAAATCAACCTTGAATGTGCAGTTTCTTGCTACTTTCATTTTACTGACTGGATTTAAATCTTTGCATGTCTTTCTTCATTTATATTGCAGTGGTCACGTTTTCTACTCAAGCAATGTGCTTGATAAATGATACTAACTTCATGTATTATGAGATAGAATGTGTGGTCATATGAGCTTGTTTCTTTGCTTGAATACAGCCATGATCAGGCGGCTATGAAGGATTGTGTAGTTTCTCGTGCTCCTGTCAATTCTGCAATCGGGTGGGAACCAACTGGATTAATGAAATGCTGGCATTGTATAGCATGCAATCTACAGAGAAGCTGAATCTGACAGGGTGGATAGACATATACTTGGCTAAAGCAGCACAGTTCTAAATAATAGTTCTAAATCCATCCAATGTAAGTTGAAATCTGGATATCCCACTCAGGAGTTTTACTTCACTTGTTTCTGGACAGTGTAATATGGAGACCAATTGAGTAAGTCTGTGGTTACAAAATCATGGTGACATTGATGTGAACAGAATATCAAAACATTGGACAGTGTATATGATGTTCTTTTTTTCAACTTCAATGTTTTTTTTTTCTTCCTTACCTCTCCATGGTCCAAATCATATGCTTAACACTTTTATATTTATGTAACTTTTCTAAAACTGATCTAATCATAATAAAAAAACACATATTTGTTTTTTTTATTTGTTTATTTGTATATAATTAGAGATTTTATTTTATTTTATTTTATTTAATCACAATCAATACTTAGATCATTTAATATATATATTTGTGATGTATATAACTAGAGATTTTATTTTATTTTATTTTATAAAAACTTAGTTGTTTCTTCACTTGTGATAAATTTTGTACATATTAGAAAATATTCCATCTTGATACAACAATCTACTATTACAAATATAGAATCATAAGAATTTGAGATTAGAAGATCCATGATAAATCCATAGAAATAGAAGACCATGATTTTTTTAGAATAAGTAATAGCTAAAGAAGTGCATAAGGGCGATTATAAGGAATTTTTTATCTTGAATAAACATCATATGATTGTAAAAAGATTTTTGATTGCCCTCCATATTTGTGGCCACCAAAATCTTTGGATATTAGTTTTAAAGTCTTGTTGTATCCAAAATGTTCAATTCTTAAGAAGTTGTGACAAGCTTAAAAAATACATAATCATACTTTACCTTTTGGAATATATAATTGTCATTTGAAATAATATAGATTATTCTTGAACTTAAACTTGAACCTAAAAGTACCATAAAACTTAAAAGAATTATTTTTAATATCATCAATAAAAAGATCATAAGACATATTAAATTAAATTTGGTTGAAAAATGTTGAATTAACAATTAATATTGATTTAATTACTTGAAGATGAAAATACTCTAGCTAGAAGAGAATTATTTTTTATTGATAAAAAGTTGCATCTCTTTTTTTTTGGTATAAGATAGGAATGATTGACAAATCTTGTTGATTTTTTGGATTAATGAGTGATCTTGATAAACACATGATCTAATGGACTTGGCAACAATTCAAAATACATGTAGACATAAAATACTTGAGGTTCTTACAATTCATATATAAAATGATTGGATTAAAAGTTCTTTTTAAATAATGACGCCATTCTTAAAATATATCCATGATTGCAGTAAGTTCTTAGTTGTGGTTTTTGTTGTTGATATCAATTCCTAAAAATTTATTAGAATATAATTCATTGGATAGAACTTATCATGTACTTCTATTTGTAATAACATTCTAATAATAGTAAAGTTTGATGCATCTATTTTCATAAAAAATACCTTAAAAAAGTTAACTTGAAATAAGATTAGTACAAAAATAAATGTTGTCTTTAAGGCCACAAATGATGTTTTGACTTCTTTGCTATTCTCAAGTTTTTCTTTATAGATTAAACATATAAGAGAAGCTGCAATTTGAAAAAAAAAATTGATGAAGATTTGGTAATAATTATCAAATTTCAAAAAAATTATACATTTCTGATTGTTTTTGAGATCTTTAAATCCATGATAGCTTAAACCTTCTTAAGATCTATTATAAGTATATTCTTTAAAATAATATATCTTAAAAATTTAATTTGAATAGTGTAAAATATACACTTCTTTATCTTGATATATAGTTGTACATCTCTTAATTTTTATAACACATGACAAATATAAAGTGTTCTTAGAATAAATTAAGATATTATTTAAATAAAAAATGATAAAGTCATCAAGAAACTCTAAAAAAAAAAAATATTCATTAAATGATGAAAAATAATTGGTGTATTTGTAAATTCAAAAAGCATGACATTATATTGAAAATTTCCTTACTTAGTTCAAAATGTAATCTTTCATTCATCTTATTTTTGATGTGTATTAGATTGTTTGTTCTTTGTAGATCTATTTTTATATAGATCTTTGTTTAATTAAGTTGATCAAGAAGTCTTAAAATCAAAGATAGAAGATACTTATTTTTGATGGTGATCTTATTGAATCTTTAATGATCACACACATTTACAAAGATTCATTTTTTTACTTCACAAATAAAATAAGAGCTTCTATTAAAGATTTAGAATGGCATATGAAATTTTTAACCAAATTCTTGTCAATATATTCCTTAAGTATAGCCAATTTATTTTTTGATAAGCTTTAGATTGGTCCAAATAAAAGTTAAATGCTTTCTTAAAGATTGATAAAATAATCATAAGGATAATACTTTGAAAGAATATGTGCATTTTTCTTCTAAAAAATGTCTTGATAATCTTGGTACTAACTTAAAATATCACTTGAATTTTTTTTTTATTGAAAATAAATGTTGTTTATATAACAAAAATTGATCCTTCTTTTGTAGCATGCATGAAAACTCTTGTACCTATGAATCAGAGTTTGGATATATTAAACTTATGGATTTTTATTTGACTAACAAAATCTTAGGCTAAACTGTGAAAAAAATAAAGGTTATAAGAAATCCAATTTATTCAAAGGTTATATTATTATAGCCATGATAATCCTAAAATAATTAAATTAGAAGGAAATCTAATTACATTAAATATTACTAAGCTATAATAACTTTTAGTTGTTACATCTAAAGGAAATATTTTATAAGTAATATTTCTAAAAGATAATAAATAATCATCTATAATTTCTATATGCACAAGTTTATTTTTTCTAATTAAAGATATTTCTTATTTTTTAACAAAGTCTTTATCTATAAAGCATGATAATACTTTTGAATCTAATAATGCAAAGAATTTGTAATTTTTTTTATTCTAAACAAACTTCTATTGTAAAATAAGATAAAGGATTTGAGAAGAAAATAGGACCTTTACTAGATGTATGAGATTTCAACCTCATAATTCCTATTGTAGCAAGAAAAATTCATTTTTCAACACATCATCTTCTTTGGCAATAATACTTCTTATTTTGTGATTACGTTGTTTTTTTGGATAATATTGAGTAATATCTTTAAATTTTTTACAATATAAAGGCAATCCTTTATAATGACATAAAGTCTTTTCTTGTTTAATAAGAAATTTTAAATGTATTGTGTCAATTTTTATAGGTTCTTGACTTAATAAATAAGCTTCTACAAACTTAAAAGTTGTTGCCATGACTTGATTTGTACCTCTTCAATCAAATCTTTTTTCTTGGTGTCTTTCTAAATGTTGATTATTGCATATAATTGCTTAAATAATAAATTATTTTAATAAGTCTACTTTTGGCATTGTGTCACAGATATATATGTATTATAATTGTTACCTAAATAATATGAATAAGTAGAATTAAGTAAATATAAATTAATTTCATAATATCTTATAGAGAAACTTTTTAGAAGCTTTCTAAATGTTGTTTTGACTTTACATATATTTGTAGTTGATTGATAGGTTAGAAACTTGGTCAACAAGCTATTCATGTGTTACATGTATTGGTAACTTGTTGAATAAGCTAACTATATCGTATCCATATAGAAAACTTGCCTTACAAGTCAAGATACGTGTCATGCAAAATCAATATGTTTTTGAAGGTCTTATAGATCGTCGCCACATAGATCCTAAGTAGATAGTATATATAGAGGCAAGAGTGAAGCCTTCTTCACTCTTATCAACTCCTTTCTTGCTTCTAGCCTAAATTCAAGAGTCTCTAGTTTCTTTGTCTTTTGGCAATAGTCATTCTAGTTTCGTTTCAATATACATACTTCTTTATTTTTATTTTTTTACTTTTTTTTTACACAAATTTTCCAAATTAATGCATCTTCTTTTAATTCATGTCCTTGACAAATTGATAATAATATAATTATAATATTAGAACTTTATCTTCTCTTGATAAAGAGTAGATTATTCATTTCTTTTTAATAGGACATAAATATATTAGAAGTTGTGGATTACAATCTTTTAAATTAATAGGGTTCTTGGTATATTTTTTAGATGAAGAATTTGTTAAAAGCCATAGAATATCGTTAATACAAAAAACTAAATTTGTACATGTAGAAGTCATAGATGGCCGTTTATTATCTTTTGGAGATATTACTCACAAAATACTTCCTATAGATGTAGCAATAAATGGTCATAATAGTTACGTAATTTTTAACATAATTAGGTCTCTCTCTAATTTAGTCATTTTAGGTTTATCATGGCTAGAAAAGTATAATCCTCTGATAGATTAAATTTCTCATAAACTTGACTTTTGTCAAAGTACTATTAATTTTTTTTAGTAAGCCATAAGTCTAATATAGCCAAACCTATATTTATAAGTACAAAAGCTTTTTTACATGCTGCAAAAGAAATATCATCTTTTATTATTTATACCACACCTATTTTTAATGATAAAAAGACTTTAAGTATCATTCTAAGATAATATCAAGATTTTTAACATATTTTTGAAAAGAAGAATGTAAATATTCTTTTAGAGTATCATCCATATGATTACTCAATTGATCTTAAAGAAAGAAGTTAGCAACCATTTGGTCTAATTTATAATTTATTATAAAATAAGTTGATTGAACTTAAGAAGTACATTAGTGAGAACTTGGCTAAGAATTTCATACATCATTTAAAATCTCTTGCTGGAGCTCCTATCTTATTTGTGAAGTTAAAAGATAGATCAATGTGAATGTGTATAGATTATCAAGGACTCAACAAGATTACCATCAAGAATAGATATCCTTTATCCTTGATATGTAGATTTCTTGATCAATTAAATCAAACTAAGATCTATACAAAAATAGATCTACGAAGCAAGTACAATTTGGTTTGCATTAAACAAAGAGATGAATAAAAGACTACATTTTGAACAAGATATGGATACTTTGAATATAATGTCATGTCTTTTGGACTCACAAATATACCATGTACTTTTCAACATCTTATGAATGATGTTTTTTGTGAATTTCTAGATGATTTTGTTGTTTTATACTTAGATAATATTTTAATCTATTCTAAGAATACAAAAGAGTATGAAGTTCATGTTCATCATCTCTTACAAAAACTTAGAGATGTAAGATTGCATACCAAGTTGAAAAAGTGTGTATTCCACACTATTCAAGTTGATTGCTTAGGATATATCATTTTCAACGAAAGACTTA